CCTTTGGCTTGCAGGTGGCTGCCCTCTTGCTGTGCCCTCACATGGTCTTCCCTGGGTGCACACATACTCCTCTGTCTCTGTGTATCCAAATTTCCTTTTCTTATAAGCATGAGAGTCAGATTGGATTAGGGCACCAATCCCTAATGGCCTCACTTCAACTTAATCATCTATTTAAAGACCCTGTCTCCAATACAGTCACGCTCTGAGGTACTGGGGTTAGGGCTTCAGCATACGAATTTGGGGGTATACAATTCAGCTCACGTTGTCACACTGTTGGAAGAGCGTGTGGTATGGGACATGTTCCTGTGGCCATCTTGGGAAAACGCAGTCTTCCACGGCACTCCTTCTCCAGTTGCCCCCCACGCTCCAACGGCATCAGAGTTTAAGCACATCATACTCAACATACCCCAGTGCCTTTCAATATGCTGTGTCCTCTGCCTGGGATGCCCCCACCTGCCTTCTCTCATGGGCCACTCAGTCACCCATCCAGAGCATCCCTGATGCCATCCCCAGCCAACCATCATCATCGTCTTTACCACAAGTCTTGCCGCACTGGCCATGACCACTGCCATTATGGACTGCTTCTTTGTGCCTGGCTAAGTTCTACTCATCTTATGTAATCTTACAACAATCTGTGAGGCCAGCTTTATGAATGAAGAAGCCCACAGCCAAAGTGGGGCAGGTACTAGCCCAGGGCCGCAGGACAAGTGGCAGAGTCAAGACTCGAACCCAGGCCTGCCCATTCCGGAGTCTGCGTTCGTCCCCTCTTTCCTCACTGGGCCTCTGACAGCCTCCTCTGTGCTGCCCCCACCAGGGTTCAATCCTCTCATCAAGGCGTCAGTCCCCAGCAGTCGTTCACACTGCGCCACCGCACCAGCTCTGGTCCCATCTGCTGGTCTCACCTGCTTATGCTTGAGCTGCTCCAGGGAAGGTCTCACCTGAGCTTATGAGTAGGCTGAGGGCCAGGTATGCCTTGCACATTACACTGTACATTACATGGTAACACCATGACGTTAATGGTCCACAAGGAACCACACCTCCTGATGATAGCCACACCTTTGTATAGCCCCCTCCCACATTGACTTGGGGCTTGTCTGTGTGACCCTCTGTGGTCAGTGGGGAATCAGCAAATCAGCAGGAGCTTGAAAAGAAGCGCTTGTGCACTATGCCTGGCTCTCTTGGAACACTGCCACCTTGTGGACAAAACCGGGGTAGACTTGAGGATGAGAGACCAAGCGTAGGGGATGGCCGGGCCAGCCCACCTGGTCCAGGAATCTCAGCTGAGGCCTATGTGTCCCACGGTCATAAGCCAGTGTGCATGTTTTGTCTTGTTTCTACAAGCCTGTGTTTTTGTCTCAGATTTGCCGTCTTCGCTGATCTCCTAATCTCAGGGATTGCCTTTCTTTTTTTAGTTTTTTTCTTTTTTTGTAGGGGGAGGTAATTAGGTTTGTTTGTTTATTTAACGGACCTCATGCATGCTAAGCATACGCTCTACCACTGAGCTATGCCCTCCCTCCAAGAAACGCCTTTCTTTGCCCAAATTCACACAGCTTGTGAGCGGAGGAGCTAGAATTCCAGCCCAGATCTAGCTAGAAAACTATAACAATAACAATAATAATGGTTATTATTAAATGTTATTTATTAATTACCAGTAAATGATTATTTTACTTTCCTGCTATAATCCTGTACTGTATATCGAGGACATTATAGACTTTAACTTTACTTTGATGTATTTTATAATTTTATCACCATATTGCTTTTTATTTTTTCACGATAGCAAACTACTCTTTAATATCCTGGATTTTCTCTTTATGCTAGAATGGCCATGATGTTGCCTCTTTGCAATCCAGTTTTTGTCCTAATATATCCATATAGTATTTTTCATTCCTTTTTCTCTATTTCGTTTGCTCTAGACCCAGTCTCATGGTGGTCTGCGCACGTCTGCAGCAGGTATAAGCCAGGATCCACGAGGTCCAGTCTCAAAACACTGCTGTTGCCACAGCAGCACGATCCAGGCCCCTAATCCCACCCCCACCAAATGCTACAATATAACTCAGCTTTTGTTCCTCAAGCACCATGAAGGGAAATACAGACACCAAATCCCCAGGAACACTTACTCGAACCCTCTTTTATGCCCTGTCCACCTCTGTCACATCTCCAAAGTCCTCCCCTTCTGCTCAGCTCCTGTCTCTCTTCCTCTTGTCTCTCTCTTCTGTCTCTCTCTCCCTACTCCTTCCACTTCCTTCCAGACTCTGCAGTTCTGTGTCTCCCTTTCCCCAGTTCCTGGATTCTACATCACAAGACTTGTTTAATTACTTGATCACATGACACGAAACATGTCTATCATTTTATATGTTAAAAAAATCCATCAGATTCTCACAGACACAGAAAACAAACTATGGTTGCCAAAGGGGAAAGGGCAGGGAGGGATAAATTAGGGGTTGGGGATTAACAGACACACATTAATACATACAAAATAGATAAACAAGGACCTACGGTATAGCACAGGGAACTATATTCAATTTCTTGTAAAAACACATAATGGAAAAGAATCTGAAAAAATATACATATATGTGTGAGTGAGTATGAACGTGTGTGTATATATATATGTATATATGTATAACTGAATCACTTTGCTGTATACCTGAAACTAACATTATAAATCAACTACACTTTAATAAAAAATTTTTTCAAAAAAATACAACAAATTCTCCACTCAGGTCATTAGAACTAACAAGGGAGTTCTTCAGGGGTTAAATGCAACATCAATAAATTCATGATAAAAATCAATTATGTTCCCATATACCAGCAGCAAACAACGTCCTTTAAAAGTCCTTTTAAAAAAGATGCCATTTACGACAGACAACAATAAAATCTACAAGATGTCTAGGAATCAACCTCCATGACATCTTTATGAAGAAAAGTAGAAAACTGTAATGTGAGACTTTAAAGTAGACTTAAATGTTTAACAATTTAATAAAATGAAAGATACACACACAAAATAAAGAACATATACGAAGAAGATGTACCGGTTACCAAAGTAGGCAAAGGGTGGGAAGAGGGAAGGCTCAGAAGAAATATAAATGACCAGAATTCAAAGAAGTATTCACTAAAACCACAGTGTGATATACTTTTCTGATTCCTAGAAAAAGCTTTTAAAATGATAAGTACGGAGGTTTAGTCAAAGTGTGAAAAAATGGGTGGATACCTTTGGGGAGAATGTAAATTGGGATTGTTTTTGGACAGTGATTTGATAACATGTCAACATTTATAATATCCTTTGGCCCTTGCAGTGTGTCCTTCCCAAATACATGTGTTTGTAGGGCTATTTATTGCAGCATTATTTGTCACAGAATAATCTTGGAAACAGATTTATTCAAAAGCCATTCAAAAGTGGATTACATAAATTTTGGCAGGACACATAATGGAATACTATTCAAATGTTTAAACGGATGAGTTGCTTCACAAAGAATGGAAATGCACGAATAAAAATTCTGAAGTCAATTATGTGACATAAAGACCCGAACAAAGGAAAAAGGCACATTCCCATTTCTGGTTAGAAGACTCAATAAAGAAAAGATAACATCTTTCATCTTTCAATCTATAATCTTAATGGGATGCAAGTAAGTATTCCAGTGGGATTACTTTGGAACTTGATTGGAACAAACTGAGCATGCAGGAAAATCAAGAAAAGTCCTGGAGAAAGAGAGAGAGAGAGGAGAGAAGAGAGAGAAATCTGAAGAGGTAAACTCTACCACACCACAAAGTGTACAATACAGTGAGAGTAACAGTTCATTATGAGTTCATAAATAGACAGAGAGATGAATGGAGCAGATGAGTGAGTCTGGAAGTAGACCAAAAAAATATAAGGTCATTTAATAAATAATAAAGGTGGCATTTAAATCAGTGGAGAAAAGATGGATTACTCAATAAATACTGTTAGGATAATTGGCTAGTCAGCTGAAAAGAAATTCCACTGTAGGCCTACCACAAACCTACACGAAGATGAATTCCAACTGGATAAATAAATCATGGTACATGCACACAATAAAATACTATACAGAAATGAGAATGAATGAGTCGTGGCTACGTGCAACATGGATGCACGTAAAGACAACGTGTAGAGATGCATAATTCGGTGGTAAAACTATAAAGCGCACAGAAAGGAATACTCCACAAGTTGGCATGGCGGTTACTGCAAGGGGAAAGGAGATTTTGACAGGGAAAGATCATACTGGGGGCTCCTGGCCAGGAAGGGCAGGGGAAGCAGTGCCGTTCCTTGACCATCGTGACTGCACAACTGTTCATCTTACAAGTTGTTAGGTTGTCCATTTGTATTTTATGCCATCATGCAGGTTATTTTTTACATAAAAAGGCTTAAAAGGAATATATGGGGAAAAAACATAGGGCTTGGTGTCGTTTTGTTTTCTTTTCATTCTCTCAGAGTGAGAAAGGCTTTTCTAAAGATGACATGAAACCCAAAAGCAGTTTTAAAAGATTGCTTGATTTGAGTCTATAACAAATTCTGCACGGAAAAACACCTCAACAAACGTCCAATGACAAACACCCGTTATGGGAAAACGTTTGCAATCGTATCACATTTCTTAGTAGAAAAGAGCAAAGGGGTTGGAGGGTGATTTTTCAAAAACTTGCGAATGCATTCTTCATTAAACATAACATAAAAAGAAAGAAAGGAAAAAAGAATGTGGAAGCTGTCTTTGTACTTACGGGGCGCGGTCGGCTAGGTATGCTGTTACACTGTGTATCGTCTGCTACTGTTTGTGTAACAAGTGTGTGTAACTTTGGATACACGGATGGCATTGGAGTGGACAGGCTGGTTGCATTCTCCTGCTGTTGTTTGTCACGCTTGTGGCATATATACATGCACATACTTTTTTTTTTTGCATATACCTTTTTAAAAGATGAGAAAGAAGCAACTCCACTTGTAGTGATTTTGAATAATATCTGCTACATCACAAACAAAACAAGGCTGGATAAAGTAGTGTTACTTTTGTTTCTTTTAATGGAAAACTTCAGACAAAAGCAGAGAGAGAAGTATAAAGCACCCTTATGTACCTACCCTCCACATTCATGATAATAAACACATGGCCACTCTTCTGTCATCTGTGCCTCCCTCCACTCCCCTCCACCCCCTGGTTTATTCTGGAGCAAATCCCAGACATACCATTCCATCTGCAAATACTTCAGGCTGTATCTCTATAAGCTGCTGCTCTCTCTCCATATCACGATCATATCTAAAAATTAAAATCTATCAATAATTCTTTCATATAATCACATAACACATGTCCAGACAGTGTTCAACTTTCCCAGATTTTTTTCAGGAGCTGATCTTGTTTACCAGTTGATTTGTCAGAATCAGGACCCACAGGTCTATACTTCGTTAACTGTGTTTTAGCTCAAATGTCTTAATTTACAGGTCCCCTTCTTTCTATTTGAAATCTATTTGTTAAGGGAGAAAAAGTCATTTAACTGATAAATCTCCCCCACCCTGCCCCTTCTCCCCTTTCTTTGCAGGTTATTTAATGGAAGGAAGAAAAGAAGGTTGTTTGTCCTGAAGAATTTACTGTGTGCTGGATTTTGCTGATGGCAACCCTGTGGTGTTAGAATGTTAGTGATACATTTTACTCACTTGCTCCCATGCAGATCCTCCTTCCACCCTTGTCCACCCTGGGCTTTGCCCCAGGAGGCTATAGCAGCCAGGCTCGCTTGCCTTCTGGCATCAGCTGGGTTTGGCCAATAGGGAGCCCTGGTAGGAGTGGGAGGGAGGGAGAAGAATGTGATCAGAGTGCTTATTTCCCCGACTCCCTCCCTGCAAGGCCCACCCTGGATGGGCTGTGCTTCTGGACTGAAGGTGACTTCCTCTCAAGACAGCTGCTCCACACAACCCTCTCCCCTTCCAGGTTCTGGTAATGTCTCCCTCCTACTGGTAAAGGCCTCTACACCACTCATCCCAGGATCCCACACATCCTTCACGCTTTGCCTTCACCTTTGTAATAAAACCTCTTCCTGTTTTCCTAACCTGAGTGTACCATCTGCTTCCTGTTGGGACCCTGATTTATACAAGGTTTCTCTGTCCCTAGTATTTCCAATAAAGTGGCAGTTAAATGGAGGCTTGATCAGATTCAGATTAACAATTTTTGTAAGAATACCTTATGGATGACACTGTATCACTTCAGAAGCACACAATATCCATACATTACAAAGATCCCTGCCAGCTTTTCACTAAATGGTTTTTAGCTGTCATTGATGATCATTGTCTCTTGCCACAATCAGGAGTTAGAAAATAATGGTATTCTATCATTCTTTCTTCACGTATTAACGAAAATCCTCTATAAATCCCCTTATCATCTACTTGGTTACCATGGGGTCCGCTGGCACAGGAAAGACAGGAGCAGTGCCTGCTACTTTTTCCTCTTTCTCTTCATCGGTTTTCAAAATTATGAGCTGGATCCTCCAAATGTAACCAATGATGAATTCATGGATTTTAATATTCGATGCTTTAATCCTTCATTTTTATTCCTTCCCATGCTCAAATTGTTCCATTTTTGGGCCAGAGGGTGGGAGCCACTGAGTTCCTTTGATATGATCCCTGGAGTCTTCAGCAGTCTTTGATAGTTTCTTTGCTTTCTGATGCAACAAGATATTCCAGGCTTATCTTGTATATTTCCTGCCCCAGAACTGGAATCAGCCGTTTCTCCAAGGAGCCCTGGTTCCTTTTAATGAGAAATGGTATTTGAGAAGCCACACTAGGGGTGTTCCTTGATACTGGGCTGTTCATTATCTCTAGATCATATTTTAGCTAAGAAATTAATGCTTTTCAGAGAGAAAATATATCCTGTATTCATAATGGCATCTGTAATTCAAATTTAGGACTACAGGACTTTAATTTTTTGATTTTATATTTTTATGCCTTATAACTTAGGCTGAAAATCTTGGTTCCTAACAACATTAACATAATTATTTGCATATACATACATAATACATTTATATCTTCACAATAACTGTACCAGTGCTATTACTAACAACATAATTATTGAACACAGTAAAATTTCTTTGCAGCTCTCTTTTGTTCTTAGAATATATCCCACTAACGATGTCCGTTCAAATACTGGGTTTTTCTCATGTGTGAAAAAAGTCACTTAAAGTCACCTATTTAAAGTCATCTAATTAAAGAATTAAAATAAGACCTCTCTGTGCAAGAGAACTACCAACTTGATACATAGTAATCAGTTTCATTTTTAAACATTCTCCTTTTGATTTTTAAGGATTGTGCTTTCATTTTGATTGAAATTGTTTATTTCATAGTTGTATATAACATAAACATGATTCCAAAGCCAAATACACGAAACATGTACTGTTAATTTAAACTTGTAGTCACAGGAGAAGGAAGAAGGAAATTGCAAAGCTCTTCTGGCCAATACAGATAACTCAAAAACAGTTGTACCTTCATTGTTAAAAACAGAGCTGTCAAATGAAATGTTATTACTAGCGCAACATATAATTAAGCAAGGCTGCCAATTTTTTAAAAGATGTTTTTAAACAGCACATGACTACATTTCTCTGAAACCCAGGTGACTTAAAGGTCTTTTGTTACTTTTACCATTTGCAAACCACAATCAGAACAGGATGAGAGTCCCACGTTAATCAGAACAGGCTCTTTGGACTAGCTGCCTACTGCTCTCAGGGGACAGTCTGCTTTTCAAAACTGGCAGGGGAAGAGGGAACATCTTCTTTCCCTTCTGAGATTCTCTTCATTAGAAATTGTCAGTGAGGAGGCTCTCCATTCTCAAGGTCAAACCCTGGAATCCCACTAAACAGCAGGGAGTGAAAAGAACAAACTCAAACTCGGAACATGCTAAAGAAAAGGGCCGTGAGAAGTTTTAAGATCCTGCCTCCAGAACTCACAAAGAACCAAAACCAAGGCGTTTCACGTTCCCAGGATGCACCTCTGCTCTTCTTCATCCAACCAGATTCCTCTGGAAGCGCTTCTAAATTTGGTCCTATTTCAAAATCAGCCCCATCTTTGTTGCTCCCGCAGAAAGCCGCTAGGTGGCACCAAAGACTCTGTTCCCATAACCTATGATGGCACAGGCAGAGCAGATGCCAGGATTAACTCGGTGTAATTGGTAAGACCCCAAATTTCCCACTGTTATCTCAATGATCTCGTAAGAGATTTCTACTGTCAGATGTAGAATATGGGAAAAGCTGCCAAGAAAAGGGCCAGATCATCCTCCCCCCGGGGGACCTCTGTAAATATTGCAGTCAACTTTATTCAGATTCTTATTTGTATACTTTAGCGTTCGGGTGTACCTTCTGACAATGGCTAAAGGAATGTCTCTGACAAAGGCTGACAGAATCACTATCAACAAAAGAATTAATTCATTCTCTTTTAATTTAAAAGTAAATAATGCCCTTTACTATGAGTAGTGACCATAGCATGGATATTGCTGGATTATAAAGCCTTACAAATTTAAAACAATTACGATGAAACCCAACCCAAATGACTGCTTGTGTCCCAAGCTGGGGGATGATCCAGCAGGTAAAGAGGGGCTTTACCTCACCCCACCACAAAAACTAAAGAGTTTCCAGCAGTTTGTCCAGGCTGGGGAAGGCCCACCAACCCGACTCCCAGGCAATCCGCAGCTGAGGAAGGGCCAGCAAGATAAGATAAAGCCCCCTCCCAGCCAGACGTTTATCAACACGTCATGCAGGCTGGAGCGTGCCAAGCAGCTGAATTCATCTCCCAGTTCCTGTCCAGGTTGAGGACTGGCGGCCAGGAGAATCCCACTGCACTTCATCTGGAAATACTAGGCACCAGCCAGAGGGGAAGCCCACTCCCCTATCCTGTTCCACATTCCTAAGAAGGTGGCGCAAACGTAGATTAGTGGCCAAGTAAATGTCCTCCTCCACCTGATTTTCCTGTACCAGAAAGTCGACATGTAGGTAAATGTAGAAGACCATCTTTTTAGATTTCTCCAAAAGCCTACTGACTAAACAGAACCATATTAACAATGCAATATGGGGTTTATAATACAAGGAACAGCAAAACACCTGACACCAATAGCAAATTCCCAAAGTGGCAAAAGGAGTTTTGTTTTCTAATTGTTCAATTTCTTTTTATCAATTTCCTAGAATTACACGCTACTGTTAAGAGGCTGACGCCATCTACTCTTTATTATATGAGCCATCTTGTCTTTTTTCCCTAGAGGCCAGAGGATTTCTTTTTTTACTAGCACCTTTCCCAGAGTTTGACATAATAATTTTACTAGGGTTTTTATTCTTAAGAGTTGACACTTTTGAGTCAATTTTCCCAGCCGTGCACACAGTGTGTCTTTACAGAATTTATATTCAGGGTGTTTTCCTTTCGGGGGAGGAAATTTTATTGAATTACTATTTTAAATATTAGTTTGTTTCGTTGTTTTTCTCCAGTTCCTCTTCAATACAAAATTCAATATAGTTGTATTTTCTTCAGCTATATCCAATTTGATTCAATTTCCATTACCTCTTTTCCTTAACTATAACTTTCCTTTTTTTTCATGTTTTTCCCTTTATTTTTTTTCAGTTGAACATCTTCACCCTTGTGTATCTTGAATTTAGGTTTGTGAGATAATTTTTCCTTGTTATTTCATTTCTTTGCTGAGTCCTGCAAAGTTTCCATTTCACATCTACCTCTACGAAATGTTTCATTTGTTCTGTGGTGTCCTCACATCTGCACTGTTTTGTCTATCTTTAATTCATGTTGGAATGTTTGCATTACAGTGGCTTGAATTTTTGGTATTTTTTTTTACTATATCCCCATAAGGATGCTGAAGTTTTATTAATGTTCGTATTTGAGCATGTTAGATTTACCTAAACAACTACTAGCAGGAGGAGATGGATAAAGAGTAGGGCAGGGAGGGGGCTTGGATGGTTTTCCACGTTTCTCAAGGGCTCCCCCTCCTGGTGCTGTGATGAGAAACAGATTCTTGACTGTTCGGCACCTTTATGGGGTCAGGCTTCCTCTGGTCCAGCCTCGCTTTCGTAAGTCTTGGAGGGTCTACCCCTTTTGTGCTTCCCTTCACCTCACCTCTGGTTTCCGAGGTGCCCCCCTCACCCTCCAAAAGGGTGTCTTTCCAGGACTGCCGGCTCCGGTCCTGTGTACTTTCCAAGCCCCTTCTTCCTTCTCCTGCATCGTCAGTGCTTACCTGGGGGTAGACCTCTACGTCTATTATCCAGATTCTGCTATTGCTAGAACTCCTCCATCTTATGGGCAAGTTATTTACTTCTTTATGGCTTCACACCTTCCCCCCTATACTCAGGTTTATTCCCAGATTCAACGCGCCATCTGTGTTAGTTTTCCAGGGCTGCCAAAACAAATCACCACGAACTTGATGCCTAAGATGACAGATTTATTCTGGATACCAAATCAAGGTGTCATGGGGGCCATACTCCCCACGCAGGCTCTAGCGGAGAGTCCATCCTCACCTCTTCCCTCTTCTAGTGGCTCCTGGTATTCTCGACTTGTGACCGCATCTCTGCCTGTCTTCACATGGCTTCGTCCCTCTGTTGTCAACTCTCCCTCTCCTTCCTCTTACAAGGACACCATTCATTGGATATGGGGCCCACCCTATATCCAGAATATCACATCAAGATTCTTAATCTGCAAAGAGCCTATTTCCAAATACGGTCACATTCACAGGCTTAGGACCTGGACATAGCATTTGAGGGGTGGAAGACACTATTCAACCCATTCCACCACCCTTATTTTCCCTATAGCACAGACTCATCTTGACCTCATGGTGACTGGTCAGCGAAAATGTGTGGTATGGGAAATGGCTCTGGTGTCACCAGGACAGTCAGATTCCATGGGGTTCCCTGAGCCTGAGACAGGAAAAAGAGCACTGACAAGTGAGGGGCCGAGAGAAGAGAGCCTGGGACACAGTGGGTGCTCAGAAAAAGAAGCTGAATTGGAGAATAAAGGAGAGGACTTCGTGGAAGGAGGGAACAGAAAGGGAAAAGCTGGTAAGTAGGTCAGTGTCCATCTGCCACTTCCCAGGGCTCAGCTGCCTTTGTTGAGTTGTGATGCCCACCCTGACCTCGGCTGCTCCCCAAGGTGAGGGTCCTGGCCACCAAGCAGATGAGTGATGAAAGGACAGAGGGCAGAGTTGCTGGGGCAGGCTCCTATGCCCCTAAGGTTTGCTGGACAAGAAGAAATCCTGGGGCTGCTCTGTTTGCCAGGAGCTGCAGGAGGGGAAGCAATGGAAAGAATGAAGTGGGGGGCAGGGAGACTGGGGTCCCAGACACCCCCAAGTTACCAGAATGCACTTGACGGAATTATCTGCCTGTTTTTCCTACTGGGTTTTATCCAACAGCCTCCGCGAACGTCTGCTTCTACTCTAAGATTGACCCACAAGAGTTCTGCAGGCCAGAGGGGCCAGCAGAGGCAGGAGGAAGAACAGAGGGGGTACACCTGCTGCCAGAGGAAGAAAGAATGTGGCTTCCAGCTGAAGGTCTCCCTTCCTCCTGAACACAGCCATTCTCAGAGAGGACCGGGGACCATCAGCGCCACAGCCAACATTCCAGTGAGCCCAGGCCTTGGGATGGCCCGAGGGGGAGGCTAGGAGTCCAGGTATAGCTGCAGAGCCTCAAGTCCCCCTTTGCTGCACCGAGGGGACTGGACTTTGCCCAGAGCCCGGATGTGCCAGGCCCACCCGACTCCTGGGTCTCATCGTCGTCGCAGCTCCTGAATCCTGAGCCTCCTGGGCGCTTTCCATTGGTCAGTTTCACTTTACGATCCTGTCAATTTGTGCTTTATTCACTTTGTGGCTATTTGATCCGAGGCACACAGGTTAGGTTCAGGCTTGTTATATCTCTGTGGGAACTGTTTATTACTAAGCGAAGATTCCCTTTTTAATTATATTTTTTTGCTTTAAAGACTGTTTTCCTGATGTCACCACGACTATAGCAGATCAGTTGCTTCGTATCCATCTGCTTGGTTTATCTTCTAGCCCTTTACATTGTTAATCTGTCTACAGCTTACAGCTATATAGTGTATTTTCAATCCAATCTCTTTTCTTTCATTTTTCTTTTGACAGGCCAGTTTTAATCTATTCACATTATGATTAACATACTTGAACTCATTTATGCCACTTTATTTTTTACTTTCGTATTAACTAGGCTGCTCTACCCGCCCTGCCCCCAAACTTTCCTTCTACTACTGGACTTGGCTTTCCCTAGGGTTTGGATTTATTGGTTCTATTTCTAGTCTCTTTGCATTTACTCTTGCTGAGTTAGTATTATTTATTTGGGGAGTTTATTCCAGTTTCCTCCCTTCAGGAGGGCCCAGGCTACATCTCTGGTCCCTGCTTAGGCATTAAAACTTGCAGTCCCTCCCCACCCCAAAGACTTACGTCTCTTTCTGAAACCTAAGGCTTGCCTCGGTGCCAACTTTCAGTTAGCAATCTGGATCTTTTGGTATTCATTTCTGATTTCCATGATTTTTCATGGTATCTATGATTCTAAGTTCAGCATTACTTTTTAAGTTATATTTATCAACTTCCTGTATATCTTGTAGTAGGCGTAAGGGGTCTTTCTGGGTCAGCTTAGTCTGCCATGTTTCCTGGAATCCCTGGGTGATTTCACTTTCTCACTTGATCTTCCTGCACTATAAAAGGAATTCTTCCCATTTCCTAACTAAGGGGATGACTATCTGTCACACTGTTCTCCTTATTTCATATTATTTTAAAACTTTTCCACCTTAACAAACCCTCCTAATTAACATGAAGTTAACGAAATTTTTATTTTTAACCTACAGTTTTAGTTAGAATAATGCTAGCTGCTGTAACAGATATGGCCAAAGCACTCAGTGGCTTCATACAGTAAGAGTTTATTTCTCATGTAGTGAAGAATCTGCAGGGCCTCTGCTCCAAGCAGTCCTTTAAGGACTCAGCTCTTTCCATGTTGTGGCTCCGTGCTCCTCTTGGGTCTTAAGACTGCTCTCTGTTCAGCCAGTGGACAGGGAAAGAGGGGCTCCTGTGGGGGGGGGGTTTGTAAAAGACAGCCCTGGAAATGGTGTACACCTCTTCTGCTGATACTCCACTGGCCAGAACTCCAGTGGCTACATGTATAACTGCAAGGGAGGCTGGGAAATACAGCGCAGCTGCGTGCTCAGGGGGAAAGAAACCTTATTTAGTAAACAGTCTCTTTGCCTACATTTTTAATCTTCTGTTCTCTCATTTTCTAATTTTCTTGAAATGATTCAATCACAAAGTTCTATAATGAAAGACTTCATCTTATTCACTTAATCCCTTAGGTAGGCATAAAATAATCTTTGCATATTATATTTGAATGAATTGTTTTTTTTCCACTTCTTGGTTTAGTGTTCTCTGCCCGTATTTTAACATTTATTTCACTCTTAAATTCTATTTTCTTACCTTTCCACTTTTTTTTTTGCAGCTGTGGTAAAACTGTTTATTTCCAGAGATGCCCACGGGAGGCAGAAAGGGCAAAATGCAAAGGAAGGCAGAGGCTCCACTACAAATGCAAGAAAAAAGTGTCCTTATACTTTGTCAGATTGTGGCAGCCCAGAATGAATGGGGAAACACAGGGGAAAAGATTTTGCAACTCAGATGTAACTCTGTGAACAGTAAAAGTTTGCTTTAGTCCAAAGGTTGGGGCGGGGGATGAAGGCAGAGCAGGTTGGTGGGATACCCCTACCACATCTTAGCCAGGAAGAGGCCCTGATCACTCTACGTGGCCACCCAACCTTCAGAGCTGCCCTGACTCAACCCCAGAGCTAAGTTAGATCTTAAGACAGATTCTCCCTTCCCTGGGCTACCTCCTCCTGCCACAACCCTAAACAAAAGCCTGAAGCTGGGTTCTGGGTGTCTGATCCTTCACAGCTGCCCCCAGACCACTCAGATATAGTCATATCCACCTCCTATCCTGGAATAGTCTTGGCAGGGTCAAAGGGAAGACTTAAGATGTCTCCATGAGTAACGCTCCTTGGCTGAGGGGACATCCTCAGTATGGTTCCTCTTAACAGAGTGAACAAGCTATTCTCAAATTTTCTTTGTTCAGAGATTTCATCATTCATTTATCTACCCAACCAGCTGGTCATTCAGTAAAAATCCTGTGAGCCCTCAGCACCCTCCAGGTCCAGCACTGGGCTGTGGATTCTCCAGGCTGAATGAAACCAACATCATAATCTCAGGGAACACTTGACAGTTTGTAAGAGACCACCCTGGGGCAGAGAAAAAGCTCACAGTATCATGATGAGTGCTCAGCTGGTGGTTTGTGCATGAGGGGTGTCCTGGGAGGTCACGGCACACTCAGTGTGAGGGGTCAGAGATAAAGTAGGAGAGCTCAAGGCTCAGCCTCATCACAGCCCACTTCCCCAGTTTCAAGCCTAGTTTAACACTTGCTGTCTGACTCTGCTGTGTCTCAGCTTACCTGCCCACCCAGGGTCCTTTCTCATCAAGGCTTGACTTCCATGGCACTCCTCTGCATTCACTGCTGCTGGTCAGGCGTTTAAAAATAAAATGTTGACTATGGGAGAAAGGCCCCCATCTCCCCAGGCCTAACAGTAGTTAGCATCACTCCTCCTCCTGGAAATGTGATATGAAAACCTCTCCTATGGAGGCTGGTCCGACCTTCTTTGCAACTGTCCTTTCTTGACAGCTCATGCTCATTATCACTGTCTCATCAGTCCTTGGGCCCAGCTGTGGATGGCTGAGCGCTCCCTGGCAAGGCCTTGGGAGATCCTGAGTCAGCCTGAGTCTTCCTCCTCCTCCTCCACCACCACTGCCCCTTTCTGGTCTTCAGCATCTCAGCCCTTGAGAACTAGAGATGCAGGCGATCATCCCTGGTAAACTGTATGGGCAGCCTGGTTCTGGGGTGGCCTCATCAGAGGATGGGCTAGAGATTCCATGGGATTTAGACGTATGGATTCTGTGACAAGGATGCTAGCAGCTCAGGGGCCTTCTGGGCTCGATTACTGGGTGTGTCTGAGTTAAAATTCTCACCAAACAATCTCTGTAAAAGAGAGGGGTTATCTGTCCATTTAAGATGAAGCTGCAAAGGTCCAGGGAATGTGAGGTTGTGAAAAGGGTACAGGACCAACCCTTTCCAGTCTGTTTCTTTCTTCAAAAAGGCCTGAAAAAGTTAAGCAGCCAAGAAACTCACAGGGACAGAAATTTCTAAAAACTGTAGAAAAGTCTCATGTGGTGGAAAAATTTCCAGCAAAGAAAATATAAACAATATTTGGGCTACTAGCCCCACATCTGCCCACTCATAAGTGGGCCCCAGGCAGGCCGGCCCCTAACAGAGTGACTTCATACAATGTGATTTCTCTCTTTGGGCCCCTTTCATTCCTAAGCAGAAATACAGGAGAGGGGAAGTATTTCCAGCCCCTGAGACTTCGTGGGTGACTGCTCTTATTGCCATGAACAGTATCCTTTTCCTGTGTATGTGAAAGAACGCCCCCTGCTGGGCATCTACACAATTTTTAATAAATTTAGAAGAATATCTACACTGACAGTACAAAATTTAAAGGATTAAAAAAAAAAAACCAAAAAACAAAAAAGGCTTTAAAATGCAGGGAGGAGGAAGCCTGTGCAGCTCATGCATCCCCGTCCCCCACGCTGTCTTCATTCACAGCTCAGCAAAGCCAGTGGCCTCTTACAGTCCCTTCACTGCAGATGTCCCCAGATGAACACAGTTCTGAAGGGTAGCTCCCAGTGGCTCTTAACTGTTCTCCACAGGAGAAAGAAATCCATCGTGTAGCCAAATGTTCCCAGCCGACTCGGGTCAGGCACATCCGACAGAGTCACTGCCCTGTCACACTGGCTGACATAGCTGAAGGTCCCTGGAGGGGCCCCTCGGCTACGCCTGCTCGCTGGCACCGCCTCCACTGGCCCCCGAGCCTTTGCCTGATGCCTGGGCTTCTGAGGAGCGTGAGGCCTGCTTGGGCAGGCGGATGGGGACGTAAACATTGGAGGCACAGTGCTCCTTGAGGTAGCCACCTCCCTTCTCCTCGTATTCCTTCTTGGTGATCCAGACGTCTTCGTCGTCCAGGTGGTCCAGGGCCCAGTCACGAGCACCGTACCAGGCATCCAGCACGGGGTTCGAGGCCAGCTGAACCTGAAACACGAAGGGCATCTCCCATCAGGGCTCAGGGACTGAGTGCTTGGTGGGTCCAGCTACACTTTACTCCCAGAAACATACACAGAGGGGGGGCTCCACTGATCCCAAGACGGGGTAGGTCTATCTCTGCACCCTCTCTAAGAGAGCTGAGCTGAAATGCCCTTGACTCTCCACAAAAGCACACAAGAATGCAAAGCCACGATCTCCCAGGATCAGCAACTGTCAGCTATTCTATCCGTAGGAGACCTGCCACGTGGGGCCAAGGTGGGGAGTCGGACGTATGGCGGGGACCAGCTGCTCTACCTCCTGATCCCATGCTACTGACCACGAGCTGTCAGGTGGTGTGAGAGGAGCAGCGGTGGCACTCGACCTGGACAAGGGCCTTCCTGGACCTGATCCCTGCACCACATGGGCCCTACCAGCCTCTAAACTGCAACCACTCCAGCCACACTCAGCTACTGCTTAGCCCTCAACAAGCTTTTGGCCCCTGAGCCTTCGTTCCTGCTAGTCCCTGTGTGAAATGCTCTCTCCACCCCACCCCACCCCACACGTTCTACATGGCAAACACCTCATCCTCAGGAGACCCAGGGGTCTGGGTCAAGAGAAGGCCTTATTCTCAACGTCCACGCTTTCGTACGCTCTGAATCTTTATTGGATGCAGGTCTTTCTTTGTCCATTAAAACAAAACAGAGGAGTACAAAAATGTGATTTCCATTCTGCTTTGAAAACTAACCATATAAACAAGTTTATACTGTATAGCCCAGGGAACTATATTCAATATCTTGTAGTAACTTATAATGAAAAAGAATATGAAAATGAATAAATGTATGTAAATGTATGATTGAACTATTACGCTGTACCTCAGAAACTGACACACTAACTATATTTCAATTAAAAAAAAAATTAACCACAGACTAAAGACCAGAAGGAAAGCCATGAAAACGTCAAAAGTGGCTCTCTCTGGATCATGGAAGTATAAAGGAATTTTTCTCATTTACACTTCACTACCTTTGCAATCAGAAAGCAAATAATGCTGTTTTCGGACCAGCCTGGTTGCATGAACAACTGGTACCTGAAAAGAAGACTGAAAGGGTCTCATCTCCAAAAGCTCCTTCTCGATTCTGCCTTTCATCCCAGGGTACATCATGTTCCCGCCAGTGAGGAAAACGTTCTGAACCAGCAGCTCCTGAACGTCCGTTGGGTACCTAGGACAGAAACCACTCCTCCGCTACAGTCCCTCCAACTTGAACATTAGAAGGGACTGTGGATGTGGACATGTAAGCTCTCAGTACAAACCAGAAAATACTACTCACAAAGTTAAAAAAACAACAAAAATCACCTTCCATTTTTCATTGGTGTCTTCACAGAAGGCCAAATAGCTAGTTAAAACCTTAATTTGAGTGGCCAGTCCATTTCCTTCACATGATTAGAATATTATGCCTTTCTAAGACATGTTTTTAAAAAACTGGCTTCATTGAGGATTAACTGAAATACATTTTGATAAAGTCTGACAAACTTATACACCCTACGGACCATCACCACAACCAAGTTACAGAACATTTCCATCACCCCCCAAAGTCCTGCCTCTCCTGAGGACCCATCTCATCACCTGTGTTTTTTTTTTAATACCAGTTTTATCTTATACATGTTTGATCACTTTCCCACCCATTGTTAGACAAAGTTCAAAGCCACTCAAACAAGGTAGCTGCTACAGCTTTTCTTCCTTGCTGTGTTTAAGTTTCCATCCTGTTTTAACCAACAGCAGCCAGAGGACTACAAAATTGTGTTCCCTACTTGTCCAACTTGAATATGAAAACTCACACTGCAGGAAAATGCCGTATAAATGGGTAGGGGAAGGCATGTTCTTATAGAAAAGCAAATTCTTATATAAAGTGTCTGCAAAGAGGGAAAACACTTGTAAGTTCTGCACATTTTTAGGGTGATTTAGAATCACTCATCTTCAGTAATGTGAAGATTTACATGAAAGCCAATGCACATATATTATCACGTTGCCCAAACTCAAAAGAAATTCTTCAAAGCTCCTCGAACTTTATAATTTATATTCATGTTCAGAAATGTTCAGAAAAGAATCAAGGAGCCCCCAACTCCATGCCAGGCCTAGTGAGAGAGAAAGAATACTCTCCGAGCGCAGCAAGTCAACAAGGAGAAAGTGAGGGAGGTTTCCAAATGCCCAGCCTTCAAACCCACCATTCGATGCAAAATTCAAGGAAATGGTTCAGGAAAACAGCCGGAAAAGAAGCCTCAGCCTCACCTGTCTAGGACGTACTGGAGCGTCTCCGCTACACCCGCCTGCTCTTCTCCTATGAGGGACGGCTGGAAGATGATTTCTGGAGCTCGAATTCTTTCTGTCCCAACAAACAGCTGGTGGTACGCTGCCAAGTTAAACACGGGCTTTAAAAACCCAAGGTTTAGAAGATATTTTTAGGCCATAATGACAAACATCCCGGTTGCCAGTTCCCTCAAATTGCATTTCTTATTCCAATACAGCTTCTGTGCTTTGTTCATGTCAGAATGACCTCTCCCCAACTCTCCTGATTTGATCATTCACCTTCTACCTTCTTTGACCTTTGGATTATAAACCACCACGTATTTGCACCATGAGATGGTCCCTGAGATGCAGGGAAAGAGACTTGGTGACAAACGGTGGTGGAAGGCTTGCTCTGGAAGGCTGTGTCCCCTGCCAGGGCCTTGCCCCACGCCCGGGTCCCTGCACAGCCGAGAAAGCTTTCTCCCAGGTACGTCTCAGCCTCAGGCCAGTCTATCTGGTCACCATTGTAATGACAAGAAACACAGGTGCAAATGGGGATGAAGCATTATGACCCCGGCTTGAATTCACATACAACCATGAAAAGCAAGTCTTTGGGTCACAAGTCCCCAGTTACTCGCCCAAATGCTCCCACCAGGCAGGCTATTTCTCACAGATTCAGAGCTTGCTGCTGCAACCTCAATCAGTCACCCGGGTGGCGGGGTGGGGAAATCCTGACTTTGGAAGTTTCCAGCACTGGTACTCTCCTTTTTAGAACATACAACTGGGATTTTGGGGGAAAATACTCCTAAAGACGCAGACTAGACCTAACTGGTCATGTCATCAGGCCTCAAGGCACCAGCGTGGTCGAGGCTACAAGAGTCCAACCTGAACTGTGGCCACTGGCTTCTCCACTTCGGGCGTTTCCTCTGAAAACAAGGGTTCGAAGTCGTTGATGTTTTCCACGTCTTCCAGAGACGGCTCGAGCTGCTCCAGGTCCGGGGTCTGAGAAAAGGAGCACACAACCAAACAGAACCTGTAACTTCGGGGAGCCTTAGTTCTCTGAGTTCACTGCCACCAAAAAGATCTCGCCCAGCGTCCTCAAAGTATGTCAATACGTAAAAACTACGAACATTTGGCTAAACTATTAAAAAAAGAAGAACACACATGAGCACAGGATTAAAAGATTAAAAAGCCAGGGATGGGCTCTGCTCTTATCCCCTACCCTTCCTACTTAGACAACCCTCACTGACTCCCACCTTCTCTCTGACAACTTGGGATGGGGCCAGCACCAAGTCTGGTGCCCCGTGGAGACCTGGCCACCAGTACCAGCCACACCTCCACACACACAACTCCAGGGAGAGGGTATGATAGCTGGCGTCCTACACAGTGGCTTGGACTACAGACAAAATTAAGTAAACATCTTAATAATTAACAAACATATGTGCCAACACCAACAGGCTTAACTGTTAGCCCTTAATGGGCTGGGGATGTGACTAAAGACTCCAAGGTGGCCGAATGCGTCCTATCTGTGCAGTCCTGCAGAACAGGCTTTCCTCTTCATGACAACGAACCTGAATGGGGACTAGACATGCAGGCACTGTCCCCAGTCGAGGATTCAGGACACCTTTCATTTTGACCTGAACAAAGGAAGCTGGGCAGCTGGGGGGATGGTCCTGGATGCTGTCCTCAGCCATCTGTCCTCCCATGTGAAAGGCAGACAACCTGTACCTTCTGGACTGCAATGGGAGAAGTTAAGGGAAGAAATGCTCTGTTGCGTTCTGTGGACGAATGCTGTAACCGTGACGGCTGCTGTAGAAAGGACTGCCTGAAGGGACGGTGTCTTGGGAGGGTTCAAGCAGACTCCATGCCAACCACCGAGGCTGCGCAGGGGGAGAGCCTTACATCTGGTGCGTGTCCTCTGAGTCCCTCCTCCCTCAGGGTCTATGACTGACGTAATTCACAGCACTTAACTACACTTCTCTAGAACCTACTCGTATCAGCTGCAAATATAAAAAGCAAAGTCACTTTTAAAGGCCACACCCGTCAACATGTGCTCTCTGGCCACCCGCCTCAGGAGTCCCTCCTGGAAGCCAGTGGCCGTGCTGAGAAGCTCAGGTGTACGGAGAGGCCGCGTGGTAATCAGGTCCGTGGCCCCGCTGAGTCGAGCCTTTCAGTCATCCCAGCCCAGATGCCAGGGAAGGGAAAACCTTCCAGGGACTGCAGTTCCCAACTGCCCAAGTCGTCCCAGCTGAGGCCCCAGACAGCCCTCCTCCACTGTCTGAATTCCTGACCCTTCAGACTTGTGAACACAACAGCGTGACTGCTGCTTCCAGCTGCAAAGTGTGGAGTGCTTTTTCATCCAGCAGCAGGTTAAGTGAAACAGGCTTCTGGTGAGGCAGGAGTCAAGAAAGCCCCAGAAGGCTACCAGGCCACCCGTGTCCCTCTTCGGCTTCCTTGCAGCCCCCACGGCAGGTGTCTGACGCCTCTCCTGACACTCTTTGCTCTGCCCCCTTTCTAATCTCTGCTCCACCGTTCCCTGCAGGTCGCCTTCTGTGCCTCAAAAAACCAACTCACCTATTTAATCTCCATCCCATCTCCTGATCTTTTTTTCTTGTCCTTTCCCTTCCTTGTCTTCAAAGGCTGAGTGTGTCACCTCCTATCCGAGGCTGAGCCCACCACCCATGGTCTCAAAACGCTCCCGCCCACCCCTCTGCTTCCTCTCTTCTCTGACCGCTCTGTCTCCATCTCTTTCTCTGGCTTGTCTCCCGCCCCCCAACCCCGCAGCGGGGGCCTGCCCGGGCATTCTTTTTCTCTCACTTCCCATGGGATTCCAGGTCCCTCCACAGCTGGGCCCTGGGAAGTCCCAGCTGCTGCCCCACAGAGACCTTAGAGATGAGGCGCTCAGACCCAGCTAGTTACCTCCCTAAGCTTGTCCATGGCGCCATCCTGCACCCTCTGCCTTTCAACCCACCTCAGTGTGACCGGAGAGAACCTGGACCTGGACTGCACGTGCCTGAGTCTCAGCTGCGATCCTTCTAGTGGTGTGACCTGGACCAAATTTCTTCACTCGCCTAAACCTCAGTTTCCTTATTCATAAAATGGGAATGATGACAGTACTTACGGAATATGAAAACTGACCAAGATGATACCTGCACGGGGTCTGGCACGTGTCACAGGCTCTATCATCATCAGCAACTGCCACTCCTACGCGGCACCAAGATCGGAGTCCTCCTCCGCCCTCCGTCCCCATGGCTCCTGACAAGTTTCGGGTCCATGTCAGCTCTCTCCTGGATGACTACAGCACACTTTCATCCTGTCTTCCCACCTCCAGCCTTGCCTCTCCCTAAATCCACCATCCCAACTGCCACCAGTTATTTTCCTAAAATAAAATCTCGTCAGGCTATTTCCTTGCTCAGCATCCTGTGAAAGCTGTGTGTGTCTGAAGGCTACTACCCAGGCTGACTGGCAGAGACCTTACAGGCGGGCCACTGCCTCCCTCCCTGGCACCATCGCCCACTCTCTTGTACCCCATGTGCTCTGCTCCCGACATGTGCGGTTCTCTCTATCTAAAATGCCCTTCCTTCCTCATGTGCTATCTGCTGAAGTCAAATAATCTCTCAGGGCTCAGCTGCAATATCCCAGGCCTTTCTCAAAACTCCATCTGTATTCCCACACACATCTGCACTGCACCTGATTAAGTTTTCTTACAGTCTGACTATGCTGCTACAGCCCTATTTTTTGAGGCACCAAGGAGGGTAGGAATTGTATCTTCATCACCTGTGCACCCCTAGTCCCTGGCATCCCATGTCTCGCACGGAGTGGCAGGCCCCTGGGATACTCCCTCAAGCTTCTCTAGAGTAGAGAGGACTGTAAGATGTCGGAGTTTCAAAGAGCCTTCTTGGCTGCAACAAACACATTATTATCCACCTTCACATCTAGTTATATTCAAAAAGCATGTCACCTTAATATAAAATCATAATCACCAACACATACACCCTAAAATAAAAACATCTGAAAGTATACTGAGAGAAAAAAGCTGAACTCAAAAGGCTACAAACCCTACGATTCCATTTATATAACATTCCTAAAATGAGAAAATTACAGGGATGGAGAACAGATTAGCGGTTGCCAGGGGTTAGGAAGTGGGTGGGAGGGTGTGGAGAGAGGAGAAGGGTGTGACTATGAGAGAGAAGCAAGGGGGATATTTGTGGTGATGGAGCAGGTCTGCATCTTGACCATGGAGCTGATGTACAAATCTATACCTGATAAAATTGCCTAGAACTTTAGACACACGCAACGGCATATAAAACTGGGAAAATCTGAGTAAGATTTGTTGACTGTACTAACGTCAATTTCCTGGTTTTGTTATAGTTACTAAGATGCTACCATTGGGGGAAACTGGTGAAGAGCACATGGGACCTCTTTGTACTTCTTTTTAAACTTACTGTGAATCTATAATTATTTCAAGATAAAATAATTTTTTTAAAAAAAAGCATGCCACCTTAAAAATAACATCTTAGCTTCAATAAAATTGGTAAAAAGAAATTTTATTTAGCCCAGTTCACGTGACTCAGGGAGAGCAAAGCTAGTGATTTCAGTGCCGACTACGGACATCCGACAGAGCACAGATTCCTCTACCACGGCTGGCTTCTCGCCCTCCAGGGTTTGCCAGGGTCTCCACATGTACTGCTTGGCGTTCAGGAACACAAACACGACTGTTCTTTTGGAACTGAACAGAACCACCGTTTGCCAAGCACATCAGAGAAGATGCAGCACTGTTCCCTGGAACAGCCTTGAGCAGCACAAAACAAGCAGAGGCCAGCTCTGGTCTTGGCTCGTCAGGCAAGAGAACTTTCTATATTTGGCCCATTGTGTTTCCCAACAAAGGAAGGTGCTCTCAAATTGTGCTCTCCCCCTCACGCCCCCTTACGCTGCACTTGGAGCGATGCAAAGCAAGCATCTTCTAGGCTAAATACTTGATCAGGAATGCTAACAAAGCCTCCGTACTGCTTTACTACACCCCCATCAAATACTTGCAGAATAGCGAGGGCTGGAATAGATTGGTCTACAGGAAAAAGTGGATTTTAAAAAACGCTGTTGAAGCATTTAGCTATATTAATTCAGTTCAGCCATTACTGCTTAGATGGCATTTCAATATGAACCATGATCCACATAAATCTATGCCCTCCATCCTAAAAGAATTATACTGCTTGAAAATACAGCAAATACTTTGTGAAAGGTAGAACTGGCTGGTCAGTATTGCGGCCAAATTTAGCCCATGAATGTTGCTGTAAGTGATCCTCATCTCTAACAATCACCCTCAACGAACATCTCTGTGACCCCAAACACCGGGCTGAGGACGCCTAACTCAGGAACTGCTCTATCAAACACTCAGGCTCATGGCCGGTCGCTGCCCTCATGTGTCTGCAGCCTGTCAGAGAGGCGGGGAAGGGGAGGCTGAGAGCAGGAGCCCTGAAGAGCCAGCCTCCAGCAGAGACAGTCCCTGCAACAGCAGGCTGCCTGCTGAGCCGAAGGCAGCTCTGAAGTCACTGGTAAGCACCACACTACACGGCATCAAACTGGAGCTTTCCACAGGACTTTCCAAAAATACAGGTTTTAGAATTTAAAGAAAGTTGACTTAAAAACAAAAACCAATAGCTGCATGGGTTAATCCTGCCCCAGAAGTATCACAAGGCAATGAATAAGTTCCTTGGTTTTAGAACTCGAGAGATGACAGATTTGGGAATAACATGTCCACTTATTACCACTTTTGTCCAGTTCTAGACAGGAGAGCCGGCCAGAGACTTGGGGCCAAGGTGTGACCCGCAGGCCACCCCTTCACCACACAGGCCCAGTGCTGGCTCTGAATCACCTAGGGCCCTAGCTCAGCCCCGCCACCCCAGCCACTTTTGGCTACATCAACACTGATTAACATTCCACTGGCAGGGAAACAAAAAGGAGAGACACCAAAGATCAAAGAGTCAGTGCTTGGTAATTAACAAAAAGCTGATCCTAAATAAACCTACAAACATTTTATTGAGCATGGCTATCAGTGGCTGGAAAAAATTCTTGAACTATGTGTGAAGCATACCCCTGTCCTTAGGGAGCATGGAGAAGGAAAGGAGGTAAATGGAAGGGCAACCACAACATATTCAATAAAAGATCAGGGGAAAGTTAAGGGAATGTATGACTAACCACCCAGGAACCATCAGAGTGGCAGGTTCAGGTTCAGGATGGGCTACATGTTTGGTATGTGAATGCTGCTCCCCCTCGACACTTCCTCCAGGGCGCCAGAGCTCTACTGGGTGAAATCCCTCGGGTCAGGACTTCAGCTAGCACCAGGTCAGCGCCATCACCGTCCCCATCCATGTCCCTGTAGACATCACACCGCTCTCTTCCCCCAAGTCTGGTCGCAACCCCTTTGATGTCAGCCTTCCCCGGGCACTCCTCCCGCCCTGAGAAAGGGCCGTTCTCTCTACATGACCCGGCGGGACCTCCCTCCCAAGGCCCACGGTACCTCTGGCTTGCTGTCCACCACATCCACCTCAAGGTTGACCTCTGCTTGAAGGATCTTCTGCTTAGCTTGCTCCACTGCTGAACTGAGCTTCTGTATGTAGGACTGCAGCTCTTCTGGGGAGTCCATGTTCAGCTCCATCAGAGCTTTGTGAAACTGATCCATCTGGCCTTCCTCTAGAAGTTCCTACAAGCAGAGCAGTCACAAGTCACCCTCAACGATGTGCATGAGGGCAATCCCACACAGGAAGGAGGCAAGTCGCTTAGATGCTCAACGGAGAACTGCGGCAGGAGAGGGCTCCCTGAGGTCCCCACCTGCCCTTCTACAAAGTCACACCTCCCACCAAGAGGCGCACAGCTGCCCTCCTCCTCAGCCGTCTGCACCACCAACTCAGCACCTCCTGATTAGGCAAAACTCATCTCTGTGACCAATGTCAGAAATGTTAAGCTTTTGGGTGGGAAGAGGTGGGAGAGTTACTGAGAGGAGGTAATGTTTTATTTCCTGATCTGGATATGGATACATGGTGTGTTTCAGTTGTGAAAATTCATCAAGCTGCACACCTAAGATCCATGTGCTTTGTATCACGTGTACTACACTTAAGTTAAAAAGTTAAGGGGGCTGGAGTATAGCTCAGTGGTAGAATACATGCTTAGCACACACAATCCCCAGTGCCTCCATTAAAATAAATGAATAAATAAACCTAATTACTCCCCCAAAAAAGACATGGGGAATAAAACAAATAAACCAGGATAAATAAATGAACCAGCTCTAAAAAGAAGTTAAAGGTCAAGCAAAAGAGGCCAGAAGGATAAAATTAATGAACAAGGTCAAAGGCCATAGCTCTTTCAGAAACGCCTGCGGCTACACCACCCTCTGCGCCGAGGACCTCCATGCGGATGATCCCCCGGCCTCCTCCTTGACCCCAGGGGGACTGAGACAGCTGATGCGCTCTATGGCTGAGGGAGAGTATATCGGAAGAAAACTCTCTGGGCCCACCGTGCTGAGCAAGGCTGGGGACCCGCGGTGGGGCCAGCTGTCACCTGCACGTAGAGCAGCCGGTCCAGCCGCTCCTGGTCGAGCTGCAGCTTCTCCTCCCGCCGCCGGGCGTTGAGCTCCTGCAGCCGCCGCAGTTGCTGCTGCCGCCTCTCCTGCTTCTCCTCGGAGGTCAGGGTGCTGCCCAGCAGCTTGCTGGAGAACGGGAGCTGCATCTTGTGGACGTTGTCTTCGTAGTAATCGGGGCACCGCCATTTCTGCAATTCTTCAAAGGCATGGTTTTGGAAATCAGGAAATGGAAACACTATTAGCACTGAGATGAGAAAGTCAAGACCAGGTTCCAGGCCCGAGTAAGGTGGAGAAAGCACACACCACCCTGTCTCTAAATCTACCCGATCAACAAAATGCAGCTGGAAAACCCAGACATGAAGCCAACAAACCTGTTCTGAGAGAATGGCTAAATAAAGTTCTTCAGACAGAAGTGACACCACTGGAGCACCAGAAGTGAAGGAAAAAGCAACAGAAGTGATGAAAATCTACTGGGTGAACAAAGCGGATTAACCTCTTCTTGGGTTCTTTAAAATATGTTTGACAACCGAAAGCAAAAACTATGACAAGGTCTGTTGGGTTTCCCACGTATGTGGCTGTGACACATACGACAAGCCCAGCCCGACAGAGGAAGGACAGAGGGGCCTCTGGAGGGGTCTGCACGCTCCACCTGCAGCGGCAAAGCAGAGATTCTAAGAAGACTGTGAAAAGTCTGATGACTGTCGTCTCCAGAGCAACACAAAGACCTACACAAGAAATACACAGCTCATTTAATCAGACCGGCATCACCGGGATCCAGCACAAGACAAAGACAGTACAAGAAACTGTGGATCCATGTCTCTCATGAACATAGACACAAAAACCTCAAAAAATTCACCAAATCAAATCCAGCAATACAGAAAAAAAAACACATGAACAAGTGGGGTTTATCCTCCCCAAATCAAGGTTAGTTCAATATTTGAAAAGCAATCACTATAATCTCCTATATTAACAGTCCAAAGCACAAACACCACAGGATCATGTCAGATGCAGAAAAACCACTTCACAAAATTCAAAATCCTTTCACGATAAAAATGATTAGCAAAACTAGGAACAGAAATAAACTCCCTACACTCGATAAAGGATATCTGCAAAAACACTAGGGCTAACATCATATAATTAATAGTGAAAGACTAAATGCTTTCCCCTCCACACGATCAGAAATTAGGAACAAGGCAAAGATGTCCACTCTTGCCGCTCCTGTTCAATACTGCACTAGAAGGCCTGGCCGTGAAACAAGGCAAGGAAAAGAAGTAAAGGCAAACAGATTGGAAAGAAATAAAACTGTTCGTACTCACAGATGACACATCTACCTAGTAGTGTCTAAGGAACCTACAAAAAAACTAGAACTAGTAAGTTTTGCAAGGTCACAGAATATAAGGTAAACAAATAAAAATTCATTGCATTTCTATACAAGAGCAATAAGCAATTGGAAATTGAAGTAAAAAAAGAAATAATTAGACATAAATCTAATAAAACATGTATAGGATCTATATGAGAACTATAAAATGCTGATGAAAGAAATCAATGAAGACCTAGATAAATGGAAAGACAAATATTCATGGATTAGAAGCCTCAACACAGTAAAAAAAAAAAAGTCAATTCTCCCCAATCTAGATTTAATATTATATCTGGATTTACACTTAGAATGTTGTTGTTATATACAATCTGATCTACAGATTCAATGAAATTTCAATCACAATGCTAACAACTTTTTTGTAGATACACACAAACTGATCCTAATATCTATATTTAAAGGCAAAGGAACTAGAATAGCCAAAATAACTTTGAAAAAGAACCTACATATG